ACTTTATTATTTTCCTTCCTTCCCCATTCTTCCCTTCCTTTCCATTTTTCCTTCCTTCTTCCCTTCCTTCCTTCCTCCTCCCTCCCTCCCTCCCCCTACACTTTCTTCCTCCTTCCCTTCCTCCCTCCCTCCCTTCCCATTCCCATCTCCTTCCTTCTTTCCTTCCTCCTTCCATCCTCCCTCCCTCTTCCCCTCCCCTCTCCTCCCCCCCCTCCTTCCCTATTCCCATCTCCTTCCTTCCTTCCTTCCTCCCTCCCTCCCTCCTCCTACACTTTCTTTCTCCTTCCCTTCCTCCCTCCCTTCCCATTCCCATCTCCTTCCTTCCTTCCTTCTTCCATCCTCCCTCCCTCCTCCCCTTTCTTCTCCTCCCCCACCTCCCTCCCTCCCTTCTCCTTTCCCTCTACCACAGGGGTCTCCAACTGTGGCAACCTTAAGACTTGTGGACTTCGACTCCCAGCTTTGCTGGCTGAGGAACTCTGGGAGTCAAAGTCCACAAGTCTTAAGGTTGCAATGGTTGGAGACCCCTGCTCTACCACATTGACAAAGCCATGCGATCCTCTCCCAATGACAAAATCCTTTTGAGTGGCGATGTCATATCTTGAAGATCATTTTGACTTTTCTCAAATATGGATGCAATCATCCACAACTGTCTCAACGTTTGTCCTTGGTTGGCAGGTAGAGTTAGGTATGAAAAGAGAACAGGGGGTAAAAGGACTGATTGGAAAGAGGAGAACATCTAGTCATACCGTGGGGTCCTTGGCACTCCCCTGAGTTCAGTGATTTCCTTGCAGATATTTCATGACCCAACTAGGTAACATCATCAGTGCTAGAAGAGAGTGAGGTTTACAGAGAGGAGGGAGGAGGAGGAGGAGGACCCAAACTAGGTAACATCATCAGATTAGAAGGGAGGACGGGAGGAGGAGGAGGAGGAGGTGGTGGTGATGGCCTATGGGGTCCTTGGTGTTCTCTGAACTTGGTTGTTTTATTGAAGACATTTCATGATTCATGTAGCCTTCTAGCATTGATGAAGTTACCTAGTTGGGTCATGAAACGTTTGCAAGAAAACCCCCAAGCTCAGAGAGCACCAAGGACCCCACAGTCCTCCTCCTCTTTCTCCTCTGCCTCCTCCTCTTCTTCCTCCCTCCCTCCTCCTCCTCTTGATGATGTTACCTAGTTGGGTCATGAAATGTCTGCAAGAAAACCCCCAAGCTCAGAGAGCCCCAAGGAACCCATAGGTCAACCCTAAGCTACTGATAATTTAATTTGATTTATATGCCGCCCTTCTCCGGAGACTCAGGGCGGCTTACAATGCGTTAAGCAATAGCCTTCATGCTTTTGTATATTTATACAAAGTCAGCTTATTGCACCCACAAACTGGGTCCTCAATTTACCTACCTTAGAAAGGATGGAAGGCTGAGTCAACCTTGAGCCTGTTGAGATTTGAACTTACTAATTTTTTTTTTAAATTTATTTTTATATGCTGCCCTTCTCCGGAGACTCAGGGCGGCTTACAATGCGTTAAGCAATGCGTTAATTGCAGACAGCTGGAATTAAATTACAATGCATTAGTCTGCTGAGCTATCCAGGCTCCTATGTCTTCTGTGGGCCACCAAGTCCTAACATCCCAACCAGATAACGCTCTAGGAAGGACCTGTGCAAAGCGGAACATGCGCTTTCTGGACACCCACCTGGCAGTGTCCAAAGGGAGGGATTGTTCAAGGTGTCAACGTGCAAGAAAGGCTTTTTTTGAACCCCAAGTCAGAGCTCAGAGGCTGGGAATGTTGGGAGCCGGGAAACCGAAAGGGCCGGAGAATTGTAAACAGTGAGCTCGCAGGGCAACGCAAAGCAGGAAGTTCCGAAAGGATCGTGACTTGATTAAGAGGAATCTTTGATCAAAGTCGTAAATGCAGACACTCGCCCAGTTATGAGCCAATAAACGCCAGTTGCCTCATTGTTTCCGAAGGAAAAGCAAACTTTATCTCGATGATATCTTTATAATGGCAGCTCCTCTGGTGCTAGATAAGACAGAGGAGAAATCCAGGAATTGAGAGATAAAGTTGTAAACAACTCTGAACTTTAGGCTCAGATACCCCACCCTTTTTTTTTCTTCCTCTCAAGCCACTTTGGACCACCGTAGGTGTAATTATTCCCCATCTGGACCCACAGCGATGGGCTGGACTTGCATCCAACTGATGGAGTGAGTCTATTAAGAATAAATTTCTCCTCCAGAGAGAAACCATCTTAAAAGCCCAGATTGTTTGAAGCAGAAAAACTAGATGATAATGATAACAACAACAACAATAGTAATAGACAAATGCATACAAAGCCAGAACTGAGAAGACAGCAACAGACAGCAAGTGTCACCTATGCAAAGAACCTGAGGAAACAATGGGCCACCTGCTGAGATGCTGCCAGAAGATCTCCCAGACTGACTACAAGCAGCGGCACGACAAAGTAGCAACAATGGTGCATTGGAAGATCTGCAAGAAATACAATTTGCCTGTAAGCAAGAACTGGTGGGACCATAAAATAGAGAAAGTCATAGAAAATGAAGAAGTTAAATTGCTCTGGGGGACTTCAGAATCCAGACAGATGGGCACCTGCAACATAACACCCCTGACTTAACAGTTGTTGATAAGAAAGACAAAAAAGCCTGGAGAGTGGAGGTAGCAGTGCCTGGAGACAGCAGAGTAGAAGAGAAAGAACTGGAGAAGATAACAAAATACAAAGACCTACAAATAGAGATAGATCGACTGTGGCAAAGGCAAGCCAGGGTAGTACCAATAGCCATAGGCACCTTGGGTGCAATCCCAAAACAACTGAAGCACCACTTGAACACTATCATTGGCATTGACAAGTTCACCATCAGTCAATTGCAGAAGGCAGCTTTACTTGGAGCAGCTTCCATCCTGCAATGATATTTGTAACACCATCAAACATCCAGATCTGCCTCTCCCAGGTCCTTGGTAAGGACTCGATAGGTAGACAAAAATGCCAAACTCAGCCTGAACAGCTGGCTGACTGTGCGGATGATAATAATAATAATAATAATAATAATAATAATAATAATAATAATAATAATAATAATAATAATAATGACAATGAATCATGCCTTGCACCCTAAAAGTGATGTTGACCGATTATATTTACCAAGAGCAGAAGGTGGTCGAGGACTCCTACAAGTAAAGCAGACTGTGGAAAAAGAAAAATGCAGCTTGAATGATTACACCCAGAAAAGTGAAGAACCAATGATTAAGGACGTAAATAAAGGAGGCCTTTTAAAGACAACTAAAACAAAAGCAGAATATAAGAAAGCGAGCTGAAAATTGGAAACACAAAGCTCTGCATGGCCAATACTTGAAAAGTATTGAAGGCAAAGCTGACCAGAAACTTTGATAATAATTCACAAAGGGTAATGAAAGAGAATTGGGTAAAAGAACTGGGTATTGAAATTTCTGATCAAAATTGGAATATGAACTGGGTTGGTAGAATAATGAGGACATTATCAATAAGGATTAAAGAACATAACTATAAAGTCATCTGGAAGTGGTATTTGACTCCAATAAGACTTTTTCAAATGGATAATAAAGTGGATAAAATGTGTTGGAGATGTAAAGTGGAACTCGGGACATATGTTCATATGTGGTGTAAATGTAATGGGGTTGAACTTTTTTGGTTTAGGATAGAAAATGAAATATTTGAAATAATTAAGAAGAGGGTCAAATTGAAATTGGAAACCATATTATTATTAATATTGAATGAAACAACATTAACAACTGGAGAAAGAGAATTGGTGAGGATTTTGGTTATAATGGGGAGAATTATAATTGCTAGATATTGGAAATTAAATGTTGACTTAAAATTAGAAGAATGGTACAATGAAACATGGAAATTTGCATTAAATGATAAATTGACTTGTGATATTAAAATTAGAAGTGTTTTATATAAAGAAAATGTTTTTTGGAACACTTGGCAACCATTCGTGGACTTTGCACTTGGGAGATTGGATGAATCGGCACCAGTACCTTATCAAAGAGATTTCTGGAAGAATTGAAGACTTCAAGTTCCTAAAACTTCCTTTCCGTTTGTATAGCACGTTGGGGGAAAAAAAATTTTCTTTCTTTACTATTGATTTTTTGTATTGATTTTTTTCCTTTTCTGTTATTCTTTAACAATAAAAATATAATAAATAATAAAAAAAAAAAAGCTGACCAGAAACTAACTTGGAACTGGTTAAGATCAGGAGTACTGAAAAAAGAAACAGAAAGCTTTATTTTGGCAGCTCAAGAACAAGCCCTAGCCACAAACTGCATGAAGGCAAAAAATTCAACATGTTACCACCAACAGCAAATGCCGCCTCTGCAATGAGAAAGATGAGACAGTCGACCACCTGATCAGTGGGTGCAGCAAAATTTCACAAACTGACTACCTACAACGTCATGACCGTGTTGCTAAGATCATTCACTGGAAATTGTGCCAGAAGTTTGGATTTGAGTACAGCAAAAACCACTGGGAACATCAGGTTGAGAAAGTTTTAGAGAATGAGAAACTCAAGATCTTGTGGGACTTCAGGATTCAGACTGACAGGCACTTGGTCCACAACACACCTGACATAACAATAGTTGAAAAGAAAAAAGTGTGGTTCATTGACATTGCAATATCTGGTGATGCACGGATTGAAGATAAGCAGCAAGAAAAAATCACAAAGTACCGGGACTTGCAAATTGAAGTTGAGCGACTGTGGAAAAAAGAAATTGTGTGTTGTCCCGATTGTAATTGGAGCCCTCGGAGCAATGCCCAAAGGGCTACCCCGCTATTTAGAAATTCTAAATTTGCCGGACTTGAACATTTTGACTCTACAAAAAACCACCTTACTCGGAACAGCTTACATCCTCCGATGATACCTTAACAGTTCCTAGGTCCTTGGTTAGGACTCCAGCTGCTGAGCTATTAACCAGCCTCAAAGGCTGTGAATCTCACTAAAGATTAACCAATAATAATAAGAATAGGTACAATTTATTGACATCGCGGTACCAGGAGACGCCAGAGTCGAAGAAAAAGAACTGGAAAAAATCATGAAATATTGCGCCCTGGCTATAGAAACTACACAGCTATGGATGAAACATGTCACAGTGATACCCATTGTCATCGGGGCACTTGGTACCATGTCCAAAAATTTTGCAAAATACATCAAGAAATTGCAGCTTCCTGCAATAACACCAGCGGAACTGCAAAAAACTGCGCTACTCAGAACATTGTGCATCTTAAGAAGGGACTTGGTTGATACCTAGGACGCTGGCAGCAACCCGTATCAACCATTAGCACCAGTCAGTGGTATCTGTGACACATTTTTAAATGTTCAGTTGACTGAGTTTCACGTTTAATGAATAATAATAATACAGGTAGTTCTTGACTTATGACCACAATTGAGCCCGAAATGCCCATTGCTAAGCAAGACAGTTGTTAAGTTAGAACTGAAGAAGCTTCTCGGATGAGAAGTGAAATGTTTTCAAAGGAATGAACCAAGAAAGTCCAGTTTTTGGAAAAAAGCACCTTGGTGACCTGGAATCTCCATAAACAGTTACTAACTGCATTTTGCCCCATTGCTGCAGTTCTTAAATGAATCACAGCAGTGGTTAAGTTAGTGACACGGTTGTTAAGTGAATCTGGCTTCCCCACTGCTCACAAAAGGGGATCACAAAAGAGACTCCACGGGACACTGCAACGGACTCATTTTTATGACGGTTGCAGTGTCCTGGGGTCATGTGATCCCCTTTGCGACCTTCTGACAGGAAACTCAAGGGAGGATTCACTTAACAACCATGTCACTAACTTCACCACTGCAATGTTTCGCTTAACAACGGTGGCAAGAACGATCGTAAAACGGGGGCAAAACTCAACTGTTTCACGTAGCAACAGAGATCTCGAGTGGCTTAACGGTGGTCGTAACTCGAGGGGCTACCTGCATTAAAAGGTTGGAAACTCATGTCCTTGTCCTTGTGGATGGCTGCAGGGAAGCTTCATTGTGTTGGTTGTTGGCTTAGTTGGAAGGGAAAAGCTCCGGGGTGTATTGTGAGTTGGTGAAATGCTTTGGACGGACGCCATCTTCAGAAGTCCAAGGGCTGGGTCATATTGAATGGGGTTCTTGACCCTTCGTGGGGGACGGCAAGGATGGGTGATCAAAGTGACTTTTCCCACTTATTGTGGACTTGTGGTTGTGGTGACGAAAGCTGTTCTCCCAGCCTCAGGAGACAATAGATCCGGTCTGGGGTAGGTCCCTTCCTTGAACGCACCTCCAGCTCAACCATTGATGTCTGAACAAAAGAGAATTCAGGGAGGGAATTGAGGCAAGCAGTTTCGAAAAGGATTTCTTGAGGAAGCCGGAGTCAGTAGCCCCTTTCCTTAAAGGAAAAAAAAAAACACATTTTATTAAAAATCATACCATCGCCAAATTGTGACCGTGTAGGGCCGAAAAACAAACTACCCAACGTAGAGTGCCAAAATACAGCCTATAAAGGAGATTTTACCGATTTCGGGCTGTGACAAATGAAGCAAAAATTTATATCTGTACAGTAATATTAATGGAGTTGGAAGGGACCTCGGAGGTCTTCTAGTCCAACCCCCTGCTCTTGCAGGAGACCTATACCATTTCAGACAAGTGGCTGTCCAATTTCTGCTTAAAAACCTCCAGTGATGGAGCACCCACAATTTCTGAATTTGTTCCAACTGGTTAAGTGTTCTTTCTGTTAGGAATTCTCTCCTTAGCCCTGTTATCCGTAATCTAGACACACATTTACAGTAGTTTACATTTTATATTTCATATATTGTATTTTTATCTCTTGTGTTTTCATAGAAATGTGATGTGAATGTGCCTTATCATAAATAAGTAAACATTAAAAGGCATACACCTATCATCCTCTTTTAATGACCCCATAATCCCTTGCGGGGTTGAGTCTGGGCAACTGAATGGAGCTGAGTGTTTGAATGGCCGGATGCCTTTCCTGTCGCCAATGCGGAATTTTGTTCAGCAGATACATTGTCATTGTACCCAGAGAGAGAAATATCTGCCTCTACCTAGGATCGAACTCACAGCCTCCTGATTGTGAGGCATACACATATCCCTGTGTTTGATGTTGGGAGCCATTGATATAAACACGTTATTATTCCATTTTCCCACTGAGTTCTATTTTGAAATGTTGCAGAAATGAGAAATAATCTGAGCACCATCAATTATTTGGATTAAATTATGATTTTATTGTACTTGTTTCTTAACTTGTGTTCGCCGCCCTGAGTCCTTCGGGAGAATGGCGGCATATAAATACATTAAATAAATAAATAAATAAATAAATAAATAAATAAATAAATAAATAAATAAATAAATAAATGCTTTGCTCTGGGATTGGAAATCTCCTGATGCAGCAACAGGGCTAAATCAGGGAAGACCACCCAATAATTACAAATGGTCCTCACAAGCATTTGTTTAGTGACCGTTCAAAGTTACAACGGCAATGAAGAAAGTGACTTCTGACTGTTTTTCACACTTAACCAGATTAACAGAGTTGGAAGGGACCTTGGAGGTCATCTAGTCTAACCCTCTACCCAAGCAGGAGACCCTACACCATTTCTGACAAATGGCAGTCCAGTCTCTTCTTGAAAGCTTCCAGGGATGAAGCTCCCACAACTTCCGAAGGCAACTTCTGTTCCATGAGTTGATTGTTCTCTGTGTCAGAAAACTTCTCCTTATTTCCAGGTAGAATCTCTCCTTGGTCAGTTTCCATCCATTATTCCTTGTTTGGCCTTCGGGGGCTTTGGAGAATAGCTTGGCCCCCTTCCTCCTCTCTGTTGGCAGCCCCTCAAATATTGGAAGACTGCTATCCTGTCTCCCCTGGTCCTTCTCTTCACTAGACTAGCCATGTCCAGTTCCTGCAACTGTTCTTCATATGTTTTAGCCTCCTGTTCCCTAATCATCTTTCTTGCTCTTCTCTGCACTCTTTCTAGAGTCTCAACATCTTTTTTTATAGTGTGATGACCAAAACTGGATGCAGTACTTTAGATGTGGTCTTACTAGGGCTTTATAGAGTGGTAGTAGTACCTCACCTGATCTTGATTGTATCCCTCTGTTAATGCAATTTAGGATTGCATTGGCTTTTTTGGCTGCTGCTGCACACGGCTGGCTTCTATTTAGCTGGTTTCCACTAAGACTCCCAGATCCCTCTCACAGTCACTGCTATTAAGCCTGGTTTCACCCAGTCTATATGTGTACTTTTGGTTTTTCTTACCTAAGTGTAAGAGTTTACTTTTCTCTACATTGAATTTCATTTTGTGAGATAGGGCCCTGGGTTCAAGTCTGTCAAGATCCATCTGTATCCTTAGTCTATTTTCTAGGGTGTTTGGCTATTCCTGCCAGCTTAGTATCATCCGCAAATTTGGTTAAGTTCCTGTTCTCATCCCCATGGGCACAGGATCAAAATTTGGACACTTGAAAACTGGCATGTCTTTATGACGGTTGCAGTATCCTAGGGTTGTGTGATTTCCTTTTCCGACTTTCTAACCAGCAAAGTCAGATAGAATGGAATGGAATGGAATGGAATGGAAAAGAATAGAATTCTTTATTGGCCAAGTGTGATTGGACACATAAGGAATTTGTCTTTGGTGCATACGCTCTCAGCGTACATAAAAGAAAAGATACGTTCGTCAAGAATCATAAGGTACAACACTTAACGATAGTCATGGGGAACAAATAAGCAATCAAATCATATTAGGAAACAGTCAATATAAATCGTAAGGATACCAGCAACAAGGTTACAGTCCTACAGTCGTAAGTGGGAGGAGATGGGTGATGGAAACAATGAGAAGATTAATAGTAGTGCAGACTTAGTAAATAGTTTGACAGTGTTGAGGGAATTATTTGTTTAGCAGAGTGATGGAGTTTGGGAACAAATTGTCCTTGTGTCTAGTTGCTCTGGTGTGCAGTGCTCTATAGCGTCGTTTTGAGGGTAGGAGTTGAATCAGCTTATGTCCAGGATGCGAGGGGGTCTGTAAATATTTTCACAGCCCTCTTTTTGATTCATTTAACAACCGTGTTACTAACTTATCTGCAGTCATTCACTTAACAACTGTGGCAAGGAAGGTCACAAAAATGGCGTAAAACTTCCATAACAATTCTCTCTCTTAGCCACAGAAATTTTGGGTTCAGTTCTGATTGAAAATGGAAGACTAATTGTCTTTGCAACTCTGCTAAAAGCCCAGCAGGTGGACGATAACAGGTAGTCCTCAACTTACAACTATTTGTTTAGTGACCATTTAAAGTTACAACGGCACTCAAAAAATCGACATGGCTGTTTTTCATGCTCGCTTTGCAATGGCAATTTTGGGCTCAATTGTGGTCGTAAGTGGAGGATTCCCTGTCCGAATAAGAAAACCATCAACGTCTCAGCTCAAAGATTTCTTCAAACTTTTTTAAAATTCAGCTCTATAATTTAGGTGGAAAAGAGACTTCCTTCTCAAAGCAAAAATAAAGAGAAAAGCAGAAACTCTTCTTTGGGGTTTAATGGAAAAAGAACTTTGATCCTATATATGTTGACGGCAGCAAAGATGATTTTATGTGCAAAAATGGAAGGATACTTTGATTCCCAAAATGGATGAACGGCTGCAAAAATTGATGGAGTTAGCAGAGATAGCTAAATTGACTGCTTTGATTAAAGAAAAAAAAACACAAAATTACTTTTGTTTCTATTTGGAAACCACTTCTGGACTTTGTGCTCGAGATGGGAGAAAAATGAAACTTTGATTGTGGGTTTTACTGATTAGATAGGTTTGTTGTTATAGAAATGGCTAGTTTACACTATTATGTCAAAGTAAAAAAGTTAAGGTTTGATGTTATTATTTTATTCTTCTGCAATAGAAGGAGTCGGAAGTCAACACTTTTTTTTCTCTTCTTTTCTACATTTTCCCCTTCCTTTTTTCCTCCCCTATCTTTCCTACTATTTTCTTTTGTATTTTTTTTTTAATTTGATTTATATGCCGCCCTTCTCTGTAGACTCAGGGCGGCTTACAATGCATTAAGCAATAGCCTTCATACTTTTGTATATTTATACAAAGTCAGCTTATTGCCCCCATAAACTGGGTCCTCATTTAACCTACCTTAGAAAGGATGGAAGGCTGAGTCAACCTTGAGCCTGGCGAGATTCGAACTTACAGTAATTGCAGACAGCTGGTGTTAATCACAATGCTATCAGTCTGCTGAGCCACCAGGCCCTGTATTTCTGTATCTTATAGTATTAATGCATAAAGGAATAAAAGTTTGGCTGGAGAGAAGAGACTTCTATTGTTCTGGCCAAACAGAAATCAAGGATCCAACTGCAAATTACTCAGAAATTTAGTAGAACTGGGGATTATTATAAAGATACGTTTTGCCCTCTGCTCCAGGGTTAGAAATCTCTTTATGGAGCATCTGAGCCAAGTTAGTGAACCCACCCAACAATTACAGGCAATCCTAGACTTATTCGTTCATTTAATGACTGTTCACGTTAGAATGGCACTGAAAAAAGTGACTTACAACCGCTTTTCACGCTTATGACCATTGTAGCATTCCTAAGGTCATGTGAACAATATCAGACACGTGGCAACTGATTTCAGATATATGACGGTTGCAAAAGGGGATCACGTGATCCCCTTTTGCAACCTTCTGACAAGCAACGTCAATGGGGGAGCCGGGTTCACTTTACAACTGTGTGACTAACTTAACGACTGTGGCAAGGAAGGTCGTAAAATGGGGCAAAACTCGCTTAACAGCTGTCTTGCTTGGCAGGAGAAATTTTGAGCTCAATTGTGGTCGCAGGTCGAGGACTACCTGTCCTATTACAAATAAGAAAATAACCTGAGCACCACAAGGAATTTCTTCAAGCTTTTTTAAATTCAGCTCTGTGATTTAGGTGGAGACGTTGTGGAGACGTTCCTTCGTTGTGGCCAAATAGAAATCAAGAATCCAACTGCAAATCGCTCAGAGATTTAATAGATCTGGGGATTATCACAAAGATTTCCTTTGCTCTCCGCTCCGGGGTTAAAAATCCCCTTATGCAGCGACCAGAGCCAAGTCAGTGAAGCCACACCCAACCATTACTGGCAGGATTGGAAAAAGCTGCATTTTAGCAACGGGACGATCTCACAATCACACCAAGCGACATAAAAAGGACTTCATTGTTGCGGGCCACACAATCGAGGGAGGAGGGAAATCCAGGAAAGTCCTCGAGATGATGTTTGATGGAAATTATAAAGAGGGGCCCTTCAGACTTTTTATATCGTCCAAGTTGAATGACCTGGCGGTGATAGCTTGATTTGCAAGGGATGCATTGATGGGTGACATTTCATTGATCCATAGAGGTCCTTCACCTTTATGGTGGCTATATATCAGAGGTCTTCAAACTTGGCAGCTTTAAGACTTGTAGACTTGAATTCTGGAATTCGGGAGTTGAAGTCCACAAGTCTTAAAGTTGCCAAGTTTGAAGACCTCTGCTACATATTCATTGGGCGATTCCCATCTGCAGGAAGGAGAAGAAACTTACCAGAATAAGAGATTGAAGAATTCACTTATCTCATTGCAACCTGATAAATCTTGAAATGACTCTAAAAATCATGTTTTTAATCATGCCCTTAAACTATGCTTATTTACCGGTAATTACATTCTATCACAAAGGGGTTCCATGCTTGGCCACTTTAAGACTTGTGGACTTCAACTCCCAGAATTCCCCAGCCAGCGATGGGAGTCAAAGTCCCCAAATCTTAAAGTGGCCAAGCATGGAATACCTCTGTGATAGGACATCACAGAGGCCCTATCTTGAGTTATGGGTTGATCTAGAAGACCTCCAAGGTCCCTTCCACCTCTGTTATAATGTATTCTGTAAAACTTCAAAAGAAAAGGACTAGGGGTGACATGATAGCATTTCCCAATATTTGAGGGGCTGCCACGAAGAAAAAGGGGATCCACCTATTTTCCAAAGCACCTGAAGGCAGGACAAGAAGCAACGGATGGAAACTGATCAAGAAGAGAAGCAACCAGGAGAAATTTCCTGACAGTGAGGACAATTAACCAGTGGAACTGCTTGCCTCCAGAAGTTGTGGGCTGGAGATTTTTTAAGAAGAGATTGAACAGTCACTTGCCTGGAATGGTAAAGGGTCTCCTATTTGAGCAGGGGGTTGGACTAGAAGACCTCTAAGGTCCCTTCCAACTCTGGAGAATGACATTCTGTTATTCAGTTCTGGTTATAAGTCAAGGATTACCTGTCTTTCCACTCTCCAATGCCTAGCTATTAATTCATCTTCCAAGGAGATCAACTTTCTACTTAACTGTAAGTGAGAGCGACCGCACCTCTGTGCTTTCTTGATGCCCGGATCGGGCAGGAGCAGTTTCTCCAAAGGATAATTATCTCAAGGGTGGGGCCCAATTATTAACCAGGTGACCTGAATCGATTCTCTGTTTGTTGTCGGTCTTGCTGTATAAAAACCATAAAAATCAGGTGAACTCTTAAGTGGGAAACTTAATCTTTGTGCCTGGGACGGTCACACCTAAAGTTTCTGAGACTTTTTTTTCACTCAGGAAGGAGAGAAAAAGCTCGGATTCCACCGTGTCATCGGAGAACCTTTGCAAAGTCAACACAATCTCCAAGCGGCTCCCAGAAGGCTCAAAATCCGGATTTTTTTGTAGGGCCCCGGAGGTCATCAAGCCCACCTCCGTTAAGACAGGAATCTAAATTAGTTAGTCCTTGACTTATGACCACAATGGAGCCCCAATTTTCATGGCGAAGTGAAAGAATTGGGAAGTGAGCCATGTCCCATATTACAACCTTTCCTACCACAGTTGTTCAGCGAATCCCTGTGGCTGTTAAATGAATCACACGGTTGTTAAACAAATCTGGCTTCCTCCGTTGAATTTCCTTGTTGGAAACCAGCTGGGGGATTACGAAGGTGACCCCAGGGACCCCGCAGCCGTCATAAGTACAAGCCAGTTGCCAAGCATTCAAATTTTGATCCCATGGTCATGGGGAATTGGGGATGTTGCAATTGGGGCCAGAGTTTCCATCACTAAGCGAGGCGGTTGTTAAGCGAGTCACTCACACCCGATTTTGCCATGGTTGTTGCCATGAAACTGCAGTCCTTATGCGAATGCAAATCCCTGTGCTTGTAAAGTGAGCGTTTAGTCGTTAAGTGAATTCAGCCCCTCCCCCATTGACTTTGCTTATCGGGAGCCAGCCGGGAAGGTCACCAATGAGGATCACTGTCGTAAATACGGGTCACCAAGCCCCCGAATGTTGATCATGTGTTCTTAGGGAGCACTACAAGGGTCATAAGTGCGAGGACAGGTCATAAGTCGGGTTTTTTTCCAGCGCCATTGTAGCTTCGGTCACTAAATGAAGGGTTATAAGTTGAGGACTGCCTGTTTATGGACTCCAGGGGCCCATCAGCCTGCCCCCCTCCTCCCCCCCACCCCCCCACCTGCTGAAAAGGTCTCTGTGTGAGTCAAGAGGGATTGAGTTTCGCACCCAGAAGCCAAAAAATGTTGTGTCATCTTGTGGTTAAAACGGAAAGCACCTCCCCGGCTGAGTCAAGCCCTCCCTCCGTCTCCTCCCTCCGTCTCCTCCCGAGGAACCCAAGGAAAACCATGTTGAGCAGGCGTGAACTCAATGGCCGGCTCTGGGGACATCCTCCCCGCAACCAGCGATGAGTCCGGAGGGGCATCAAAGTCCTCAGGAAAGTCCTCAACTTAAAACCGTTCGTTTAGCGACCGTTCGAAGTCACGAGGGCCCTGGAAAAAGTGACTTTGGACTGTTTTTCACAATTACGACCGTTGCCTCATTCCTACGGCCACGTGATTGGCATGCAGGCGCTTGACAACTGACTTGTAGTTATGTCCCGTGTGTGTGTGTGTGTGTGTGTGAGTGTGAGTGTGAGTGTGACGTGATTCTCTCTTGTGACCTTTTGACCAACAAAGTCAAAGGGAAGGCAGATTTTCTGAAGAACTGTGTTATGAACTTAATCACTGCAGTGATTCACTTAACAACCGGGACAAGAAAAGTCGTAAAACGGGGCAAAACTCAAGTGAACAAATGTCTCGCTTAGCAACATAAAATTTTTTTTTTTTGCTTTAATTTATATGCCGCCCTTCTCCGGAGACTCAGGGCGGCTTACAATGCGCTAAGCAATAGCCTTCATCCTTTTGTATATTTATACAAAGTCAGTTTATTGCCCCCACAAACTGGGTCCTCAATTGACCTACCTTAGAAAGGATGGAAGGCTGAGTCAACCTTGAGCCTGGCGAGATTTGAACTTGCAGTAATTGCAAGCAGCAGATGTTAATCTGTTAATAACAGTGCTTTAGTCCACTGTACTACAGGCTCTGTAATGTTGGGCTTTCATTGTGGTAGTAAGGTGAGGACGAGCTGTAAAGCAGAAACAAACCAACCGACTCTGCCAAATTCTCCTCGAACCCGGATCTTGCAAGCTTTCTACTGTGCCAATGTTCTTGGCTGGGTCAACCGCCCCCACTCCCTTGTCTCTCCACCCCACCAGCCGTGTGTGGGCGCATGCACGTGCATGGGACGGAGAGGGTCTGTGTCACAACGCTGCTTTCACAAGCACCTTCCACACAACTTTTCCTGGCGGGCTCTTTGGCAAACAAAAAGTTAATTCCTGCCTCAGGGTCTCTGGAGATCTTTCACCATCCAGTTTGTCCTAAATGTGCTTTCCCCCCCCCAAAAGGCAACTGGACTTTTTTTGGGGGGAGGGGGAAGTTTCTTTGAAAAGATTTCGCTTCTCCTCCAAGAAGCTTCTCCAGAACTGAGGAAGCTCCTTGGAGGAGAAGTGAAATGTTTTCAAAGAAAAAAAAAAACCCAAGAAAGTCCATTTGCCTTTTTTTGGGGGGGGGAAACACCCCACCTTTGGGATGATCCTGCCTCAAATGTCTTTTCTTTCATTTTGGGTGAATTTGTCTCCGAATCCTGGTCTCTCCTTTGTTGTTCTCCTTTTTTGGGCATCGAAACATCCTCAGTCTCAAAGAGGCCCTTGGTGGGAAGGACGAGGGCTCTTTCAACATGGGCAGAGGCTATGCCACATCGGTCCCTCGGCTCAAGAAGCGGGGAGGATCAGCAATAACTGAATGACAGAGTTGGAAGGGACCTGGGAGGTCTTCTAGTCCAACCCTCTGCTCAGGTAGGAAACCCTATAAGCAGTGTTTCTCAACCTTGGAAGCTTGAAGATGGGTGGACTTCAACTCCCAGAATCCCCCAGCCAGCGCTGCTGGCTGGGGGATTCTGGGAGTTGAAGTCCATCCATCTTCAAGCTTCCAAGGTTGAGAAACACTGCCCTAGATCATTTCAGTCAAATGGCTCTCCAATCTTTTCTTCAAAACTTCCAATGTTGGAACCCAGACACTGTCCCGTCTCCGAGCTGGTTCTCCTTCAGAACCGACCCCCGGATTTCGATGGGACCAGAATTCTTTTAATGATCCAATACTTCTTCTAAACACCCGCCCCCCCAAAGTGCAGCCAAGGGATTTCCCTGCCCGCCCACAGCAAGCGGGGTTAGGAAAGAGCCCAGCACCCCTTGCCACCCCTCCCCAAGGGATGAGCTCACAGGGTTAAGCAAGAGCCTGGGTGCCTTCCCTTCCCTTCCCTTCCTCGAGGCTTACTGGCCCGGCAGCCCAGCCTCCTGCTCCTGGCCCTCCTGGCCCCACCTCGCCTGCTCCCCCCTGGCCAAGACCTGCCCTCCAATCTGGGCTGGGGAATCTGTGGAGCCAGACAGGTTTTGTGGAATGGTTAACCTGGGGCCATTCCATCCTGAGCCAATCGCCTGAGCTCAGCAGCAGCCGGAGACTTCACCGCTCGAGCACCTGTTGGAAAGCTCCCAGGGCGAAGAAGACAGACACCTCTGGCAGCAGCTGAGCCCTCCTGCCCAGCCATGAGCCTCATCCTTGGGACCCTGATGCTCCTCTGCCTGCTGGGGGTTGCCAAGTCAGAACCCTCCCAGGAACCGGTGGTGCAGGAACTCTGGACTCTCCTGTCTGGCAGCCGAGAAGGCGTTCTGTCCCGTCGCTCGGTGGATGCCCTGTTAAATATTGCAAGGTCCCGGGTGCAGTGCTCGGCCGTGCCGTGTGAAAAGGTAGAGTGGGGGTAGCAGGCGGGCGGGGTCCTCCTGGCAGCTGGAATAGCCTGGGTCAAACTCCAGCATGGGTGCAAAGGGCTAGGGCGCCGGGCAGGAAGGTGACAGCAAAGGCAGCAGCTGTTTGAGGGAGAGGAAGAGGCGGCGGAGAAGAGAAGTGGGGAGTGGGACTTTGGCATGACTTTGCTGACACTCACACCCCCCCGACAGCCCCCAATTTCTTAGCTTCTCCCTGTGTGAGCCCAGGAACCGCAAGGCTGCCACTCCCCCGGGTAAGCTGGGTTCACACCACCACATCTGCTTGATGGTTCCAAAAGAGTACAGAATGACAGAGTTGGAAGGGACCTCAGAGGTCTTCCAGTCTAACCCCCTGCTCAGGCAGGAAACCCTATACCGTTTCAGACAAACAGCTGTCCAGTCTCTTCTTAAAAACTTCCAGTGTTGGGACATTCACAACTTCTGGAGGCAAGCAGTCCCACTGGTTAATTGTTCCCACTGTTAGGAAGTTTCTCCTTAGTTCCAGGTTGCTTCTCTCCTTGGTTAGTTTCCATCCGTTGTTTTTTGATCCTGCTTTGGAGAAGACGTTGCCCCCCTCTTTCTTTTGGCAGCCCCTCAAATATTGAAACACTGCTCTCATGTCACCCCTAGTCCTGCTTTTCATTAAACTAGACATACACAATTTCTGCAATCATTCTTAACAGAATAACAGAGTTGGAGGGGACCTTGGAGGTCTTCTAGTCCAACCCCCTGTAGGAAACCCTACACCACTTCAGACAAATGGTTGTCCAGTCTCTTCTTAAAAACTTCCAGTGTTGGAGCATTCACAACTTCTGGAGGCAAGGAGTTCCACTGGTTAATTGTTCTAAATGTCAGGAAATTTCTCCTTATAAAAGACCCTATAGATATATATATAGAACAAACGTAGTCTTAATCTGTGACAGCCCCATATCTGGGGCGGGGGGCTCTGCTTACCCCTATCAGGAGCTACTAAATTGTCTTCACAGACAGCTTGTCGGGCTTCGCCAGAGGCATTGAGATGGAGGAAGCTGCGGCGCACAGAAACTTCTGCTTTTGAGCGTTTGGGGTTTTTTTTGGAAATGAGTTAGTTGGAAAAACTGTCACCGGATAAGGCAGGGAGGGGGCTTGGGGGTCTGGCTGGGAGACCACAGAAGGAGGTTTCACTTAGACAAAAGAAATGGGTTGGGGGGCTGAAATCAAGAAGTGGCAGCCTGGGGAGGAAGTCTGTCTGTCTGTCTCTCTTTCTCATAAGTTTATCATACAAAATACAAAAATACAAAGGAAAAAAGTAGGAAAAATAGGGAAGGAAAAAGGGAAAAGAAAAGTGGGGGGGAAAGAAAAGGGGAAAAAAGAAAGAAATGGCTTTGACTTCTGACTCCCTTTGGTGGAGTAGAATAAGATAATTTTATCAAACCTCATATATTACATATTATAAAAAGATATTACATTTATTCATTTATTTCTCAAATTTCTATACCGCCCTACTCCCGGAGGACTCAGGGCAGTGAACAGCCAAGATAAAATACAGATAATACAAACATTAAAAATCCATTAAAATTATTAAATATTTTGGCCGAAAACAAATTTAAAAACACCCAATTTATAAAACAAATTAAACAATTTGAAAATTTAAAAGGGAGAGTTAGGCCAGGCCAGCCTGCTGAAATAAAAATGTTTTGAGAGACATATATGTATAAACTAGCCATTTCTATAATAATAAATCTCTCTCATCTGTAAAACCCAAAATCAAAGTTTCATCCCACCCCCACCTTAAGCACAAAATCCAGAAGTAGTTTCCAGATAGAAATAAAAGTAATTATGTTTTTTTCCTTTAATCAAAGCACTCCATTTCTGCTAACTCCATCAACTTTGGCAGCCATTCGTCCATTGCGGGAATCAAAACGTCCTTCCATTTTTGCGCATAAAGTAATCTTGCGGTATTGGGGGGGGTGTCTCTAGAGGGTGTGATGGGGAGAGCAGGCTGTAGGGTGGGATCGCACCTGGAGCCAGTCATGACAAGCACGACGATGCCACAGGTAGTCCTCAGCTTATGACCTCAGTTGAAATTCAGACGAGGATTTCCGTTCTCAAGCAAGGGAGTTTTTAAGTGAGTCACGCCTGATTTTACAACCCATTTTGGCCACAGTTGTTAAGTGAATCATGCTGTTGTTAAGTGAACCTGGCTTCCCCCCATTGACTTTGCTTGTTGGAATCTGGTTGGGAAAGTCACAAATGATGCCTAAGCAGGGGGTTGGACTAGAAGACCTCCAAGGTCCCTTCCAACTATTCTATTCTATTCTATTCTATTCTATTCTATTCTATTCTATTCTATTCTATTCTATTCTATTCTATTCTATTACTCTACTCTACTCTACTCAATTCCTACTCTATTCTATTTCTACTCTACTCTACTCCTATTCTAGTCTACTCTACTCTACTCTATTCTATTCCTACTCTACTCTATTCTATTTCTACTCTACTCTACTCTACTCTATTCCTACTCTACTCCTATTCTATTCTACTCTACTCTATTCTATTCCTATTCTACTCTACTCTTCTCTACTCTACTCTACTCTATTCTATTCTATTCTATTTTATTCTATTCCTACTCTACTCTACTCTATTCCTACTCTACTCTATTCTATTTCTACTCTACTCCTATTCTATTCCTACTCTACTCTACTCTTCTCTACTTTACTCTACTCTACTCTACTCTACTCTATTCTATTCTATTCTATTCTATTCTATTCTATTCTATTCTATTCTATTCTATTCTATTCTACTCTACTCTACTCTACTCTACTCTACTCTACTCTATTATTATTCTATTCTATTCTCCATTCCTCTCCTCTTTATTATTCTATTCTACTCTACTCTACTCTACTCTACTCTCAAACGTACATAACCCTGGGATTATGGGTTCCCATCATAAATACAGGTAGTCGTTGACTTACAACAGTTCATTTAGTGACTGTTTGAAGTTACGACGGCACTGAAAAAGTGACTTATGACTGTTTTTCACACTTACAACCGTTGCAGCAGCTCCATGGTCATGTGATCAAAATTCAGACCCTTGGCAACTGACTCCTATTTATGACGGTCGCAAGCGTCCTCAGGTCACAGGATCCCCTTTTGCACCCTTCTGACCAGCAAAGTCAACGGGGAAGCCAGTTCACTTAACAACCGTTGACTAACTTAACAACTGCCGGGATTCGTTTAATAACAGTGGCAAGAAAGGTGGTAAAAAGCTGCAAAAATTCACTTAAGAAATGTCTCACTTAGCAACAGAAGTTTTGGGCTCAACTGTGGTCGTAAGTCGAGGATTACCTGTGTGCACGCTGCTGCTGCTAAGCTCCTGAATTTTGATCCGTGATCCTGGGGATGCGATGGTCATACGTGCGAGGACCAGCCATAAGTCATTTTTTTCAGTGGTGTGGTAGCTTCGAACGGTCGCTCAACGAATGTTTGTAAATAACTATAAAATATAACCACAATAAACTACAAAAGAATAACTACAAAATAAGGAGAAATTTCCTGACAGTGAGAACAATGAATCAGTGGAACAACTTGCCACCAGAAGTTGTAAATGCTTCAACACTGGAGGTTTTTAAGGAGAGATTGGACAACCATTTGTCTAAAATGGTATAGGGTTTCCTGCCTGAGCAGGGGGTTGGACTAGAAGACCTCCAAGGTCCCTTCCAACTCTGTTATTCTATTCTATTCTATTCTATTCTATTCTATTCTATTCTATTCTATTCTATTCTATTCTATATAGGAGTCTCCCCCTAAGCTTACAAGACTGATGGGCATTGTCACCCCACATTCCTACAAATCAGGGAAGCTACCAAAAATCAGGAATTTCCCCAATAGCATCTCTGGGATCAGTTAAAGAGAGAAGATGCAGAGTTTGCAAAAAATTAAATAAATAAATTAAAGGGCCTTTTTATCGTTTGGACAAAGGCCCAGCCAGGTCTACCTCTTCCTCTGGTTTCGTTTTGAACAAAATTTTGCGCTGAATACTGACATTTTTAGAAGAGGGTCTACTTCTGGGTCCCGGGGGGCAACTTAGAGAGGGTTGCGAGATGGAGAAAATAATTTCAGGGTAAGGATTAGTGGAGGGTGGTTTGACTTTGAAGCCAGAAACAGCTCAAACTTGCTCATTTCTGCCTATTGAATAATTTTGGGAACTTAAAGATTGAGTGGACTTTTAAAAAAAAGTGGACTTTAATTAAAACTTTAAAAAAAAAAGATTGAGTGGACTTCGATTCCCAGAATTCCCCAGCCAGCAAAGCTGGCTGGGGAATTCTGGGAGTCGAAGTCCACCCGTCTTAAAGTGGGCAGGTTAGTGAAGCTGCCGTAAGGAAGGCAGGAAGAGTTCTCAGGCCGTCTGGGAAAAACGGGAAATATCACTTGAGTGAGAGAGAAGCCTTGGGGAAAAGGCTCGGAGCTGCCCTGCGTTCCTAGGATCTTGGGTGCGAGAGGGCGGCAGACGCCCAGACGGGTTGTACCCGTTTGTGCCCAAGAAAGGATCCTGTTTCGGTTGGGAGGAGGGAAAGGGAGAATGAGAGAGAGGGAGGGAAGGAAGGAGCTCTCTTTCTTGCTTCGCTTCCCTTCCCTTCCCTTCTGCATCCCTTTACTTCTCCTTCCTTTCTCTTTCTTTTTCCTTTTCTTTCCCTTTTTCTCCTTTCCTTCCTCTTCCTCTTTCCTTTCCTTTCTCTATCTTTCCTTTCCTTTTCCTCCCCTTCTTCTTTCCTTTCCTTTTCCTCCCCTTCTTTCCTTTCCTTTTTCTATCTTTCCTTTCCTTTTTCTATCTTTCCTTTCCTTTTCCTCCCCTTTTCTTTCATTTCTCTATCTTTCCTTTTTCTCCTTCCTTTTTCCTTCCCTTCCCTTTTTTCTTTTCTTTCTTTTTCCTTTCCTTTTGTTTTCTACCCTGCCCTTCCCTTGTTCATCCATTTATTTTATTTTCTCCCTTTTCATTTTTTCCTTTTCCCCCTTCCCTTTTTATCCATTTACTCTCTTCGCTTCCTCTTCTCCCATTCCCTTCCATATTTCCTTCCCTTCTCTTCCCCTTTTCCTTTCTTTTGTTTCCCTTCAACCATTTATTTTCTTCTTCTTTTTTCCTTTTTCCCCTTCCCTTTTTTTATCCATTTACTCTCTTCGCTTCCTATCCTCCCATTCTCTTCCATATTCCTTTCCCTTTCTCTCTTTTTCTCCGTTCCTTTCTCTCTCTTCTTCTCCTTTCCTTTCCTTTCCTTTTTTCCTTCCCTTTCCCTTCATCCATTTATTTTCTTCCTTTTCTTTTTCCTTTCCCCCCCTTCCCTTCTCATCAAGTTACTTCCTTTCCCTTTTCTCCTTTCCCCTCCCCTGGTCTGGTCCTTCCTTTCTCTAGACTAGCCAAACCCAAATCCTGCAACCGTTCTTCATCTCTTTTAGCCTCCAGAATTTCTGCAACCCTCCAGTCAGCCTTGACTCCGGACAGCTGCCTGGACAAGTCTCTGCGGTTTTCTCTTGCAACGTCCAAAGTGGTTTGCCCTGCAGTTCCTTCTTCCTGGTACTAAGCATGAATGACTGGCCCAAACTCAGCCAGAATTCGTGCCTAAGGCAGGATTAGAACTCAGCTCTTCCAGGTTCTAGCCAGGTGCCTCTAACAGGTAGTCCTCCATTTAAGAACCCTCTGTATAATGACCGTTCGAAGTTACAATGGCACTGAAAAAAGTCCATTGCAGCCTCCCCGTGATGATGGGATGGAAATTCGAGCCCTTGGAAACTGGCATGTACTTCTGACAGTTTATTGATTTATAAAATAATGAATAAATAAATAGATAGATAGACATATAGATAGAAAAATAAAATAAAATAGAACAATAAAATAAAATAAAATAAAATACCACCACCCATCTCCTTCCACTTATGACTGTATGACTGTAACTTTGTTGCTTGGATCCTTATGATTTATATTGATATGGTTTCCTGATTGCTTATTTGTTCCCTATGACTCTCATTAAGTGTTGTACCTTATGATTCTTGATAAACGTATCTTTTCTTTTATGTACACTGAGAGTTTATGCACCAAGACAAATTCCTTGTGTATCCAATCACACTTGGCCAATAAAAAAAATTCTATTCTATCTATTCTAAAATAACATAAAATAAAAAATAAGGTAAGATAAGATAAATACAATACAATACAATACAAAAGGTAAATAATAAAATAAATAATAAATAAATAATCTGTCAATGGGTTTTAATTCGAATTGTTTTAAATTTGGGCCAAAGTATATAATTCTTTTAATAATTTTAAATTTTGTACTGGTATGTGTTTTAGTTCTGGCTGTGCACCGCCCTGAGTCCACTAGGAGAAGGGCGATATACAAATTGAATAAAATTAAATAAATAAATAAATAAATAAATAAATAAATAAATAATAAAATATAAAATAATAAAATAAAATCTTAAGTCAGTTGCCCTGTCCTGGGTCATAGGATTGCCTCTCGTAACCTTCCCAGCTGGCTTCTTCCAAGCCAGTTCAATGAGGCAAGATGGATTCGCTTAACGACAACACGTCAACTGCAGTGATTTGCTGGACCATCTTGTCCAAAAAAAGGTCGTAAAATGGGACCAACCCTCACTGAACAGCTGCCTGGCTTAGCAACGCTCGTTTGGTACCAGGCGGGCAAGTAAAATACGGGGAAATAAATAAACCGAAATATTGGGGCCTGATTGTTGGTCGTTAAGTCGAGGACTGCTGCCAGCGTGAATGGCTCGTCTAAGTTACTTTGGGGGACCCAGGAGAAGGAAAGAGGAGGGAGAAAGGGGGGGGGCAGGAGATCCACAGAAAACCTTGGCAGCTTTCGTTGCCAGCCCGGAGGAGGGTTGGACCGTGTTTCCTTTCGCTGCAATCATGGCAGTTTTTTTTAAGTGCCCTCAACCCTTCCAACCTGATTATTTATACCTCCCGTTTATAGGCAGACATCCAAGGCAGGTTTATTTTCCAGGCAGGGGGTGGGTAGGTTGTGTGTTATTTACACAAACTCTGAGTACGCACTTCAAACTCACCAGGAATCCGGAGAACTTACCGTAATTGCTCTTCGGATTAGGTCCAAGTGCGCTATTGTTCAATGTTTCTCAAGCTTTGCAACTTGAAGGGGGTTTGAACTTTGAATCCCAGAATTCCCCAGCCAGCAAAGCATCTCTTGCAGTTTTCCTTTGTGTTTATTCTTGTAAGATCCTGCTAGTATTCAGAATCGGAATAGAGCTGGAAGGGACCTGGGAGGTCTTCTAGTCCAGCCCTCTGCTCAAGGAGACCCCATACCATTTGAGACAAATGGTTGTCTAATGTCTTCTTAAAAGCCTCCAATGATGGAACATTCACAACTTCTGGTGGCAAGCTGTTCCACTGATTAATTGTCCTCACTGTTAGGAGGTTTCTCCTTAATTCCAGGTTGCCTCTCTCCTTGATGAGTTTCCATCCATCGTTTCTTGTCTTGTCTTTTCTTTTCTCCACAATACTTGCTCACGATCCGAGTCCAGTTCTCTGCATCATCAATCAAAAAAGTACATTTTCTTTCTTTCGATGGTTCACTTTTCCCAGCAGGATGGGGAAACCCTGACAAAGAGGGACTAGGGGTGACAAGGTAGAAGTCTTCCAATATTTGAGGGGCTGCTCCAAAGAAGAAGCAGTCAAGCTATTCTCCAAAGCCCCTGAGGGCAGGACAAGAAGCGATGGATGGAAACCAATCAAGGAGAGAAGCAACCTGGAATTAAGGAGAAACTTCCTGACAGTGAGGACAATTAACCAGTGGAACAGCTTGCCACCAGAAGTTGTGGGTGCTCCATCACTGGAGGCTTTTAAAAAGAGACTGGAACAGCCACTTGTCTGAAATGGTATTGGATGTCCTGCCTTAGCAGGGGGCTGGACTAGAAGATCTCTAAGGTCCCTTCTATTCTGTATTGAATTGAACTTCATGTATCAACCTGATGTCCCTGGAGCTTAATTTGTCTTAATTCCCTTCCTCCCTGAGTGTACATCTTCTGTTGGGTTTATTATTTGTTTGTTTGTTTACTTACTTACTTACTTACTTATTTTGCTGGCTGGGGAATTCTGGGAGTTGAAGTCCACCTGCCTTTAAGTGGTCCAGGTTGAGGAACTCCAGTTGGTTCTCCTTGGTGGTACATTCTTGTAAGATGTTCTCCACAATACAGATAGTCCTCGACATACAGCAGTTCTTTTAGTGACTGTTTGAAGTCACAATAGCACTGACAAAAGGGATTTAGGACCGTTTTTCACACACAGCATCCTTGTGGCCACATGATCAGAATTCGGATGCTTGGCAACTGGTTCATATTTATGACGGTTGCTGGGATCACAATGAGATTCCCTTTTGCAACCTTCTGACATGCAAAGTCAATGGGGGAAGCCAAATTCACTTAACAACAGTGGCAAGGTAGGTCATAAAATGGGGGCAAAGCTCACTTAGCAACATAAACATTGGCCTCAGCTGTGGTCGTAAGTCGAGGACCACTTGTAACCCCATCTCCACATCTTCCAGAGTTGTTCAACCACAAGGTTGAAGCCCATTTTGGAATAAACCTGGTGGACTGAGATGAAGACCTTGTCAACCTTCTTCTCTTCTGCAGTGCCTCTCGTCCGCAAACATCTTTGAACTGGTAGGGAAGACCACCTCTGGAGAGGTCAACCTCACCTCCGCGGAGCTGCTGACCTTCTCGGCAGGGCTGGTCTTCTACTTCTCTGACCCCGTGGACGCCTGCGAGGCCATCACCAAGAAACACTGGGTGTCTGAGGTCCATGATTTCCAAACCAAATTCTTCAATGGGAGCCCAGCAACCGGACCCAACCTGGAGAAAGTTGCCCGGCAGATGGTTCTCATCCAGAAGAATGCCAAGTCCGTCAAAAAAGAGGAGGTAAGGGGGCAGTGGAGGGGCCATAGTTGGCATGGGAAGAGTCCTAAATGAGAGATGTTCCCATAGAGATACTGAGAGACTTTCTTCTCTTCTCTTCTCTCTCTCTCTTTTTTTTTTAATTTGTATACCGCCCTTCTCCCAGAAGGGACTCAGGGCGGTGAACAGCCAAAATTAAAAAACATACAAATACAAAAGTTAAGATAATTAAAAAGAATTAAATCATTGGCTTCCCAATTTAAAATTCCCAAGTCTATAAAATTTAAAATTCCAATTAAGAGCCATTCTCTTCTCTTCTCTTCTCTTCTCTTCTCTTCTCTTCTCTTCTCTTCTCTTCTCTTCTCTTCTCTTCTCTTCTATTCTATTCTATTCTATTCTATTCTATTCTATTCTATTCTATTATTCTATTCTACCCTACCCTACTCTACTCTATCTTTGATAGGGTTAGACATACCTAGCTCCCTCAACCATTAGTTAATTAATTGAATTTTTTTTAAAAATTTGATTTATATGCCGCCCTTCTCCGGAGACTCAGGGTGGCTTACAATGCGTTAAGCAATAGCCTTCCTACTTTTGTATATTTATACAAAGTCAGCTTATTGCCCCCACAATCTGGGTCCTCATTTTACCTACCTTAGAAAGGATGGAAGGCTGAGTCAACCTTGAGCCTTGGCGAGATTCGAACCTGCAGTAATTGCAGGCAGCTGTGTTAATTACAGGGTGCATTAAACCACTGTACTACCAAGGCTGGGTGGAGAAAGGGGGAAGGCCAGCCTAAATTTCTCACCTGCTCTCCTCCGCTCCCCAGCCCTGCACAGAAGTGGACCAGATCCTTAAAAGCAGCACGTCTGTTACCCACCACGTGGCACCGAACCCAGCTGGGAAGGTCTTGGCCTTCCTCTCCTATCACGTCTTACGAGGGGGCTGCTTCCGCGCGCTGCCTCACAAACACTACTTTTTGGACTACATTTTCCAACACTACAGCAACGGGACTCAGAACCTCACTCTGGCAGGTAAGTCTCCAAGCTGTGGCTTGTACACCTGGGTGGGAACGAGAGAGAGAGAAAGAGAGGGAGTGTCCAAGGATTTGTGAATGCCCGTCTTAAGAGACACCAATTTCCTGCGATCTCCATATTTTATTTTATATGAAGAACGGTTGCAGGATTTGGGTTTGGCCAGTCTAGAGAAGGATTAAGGGGGGACATGATAGCAGTCTTCCGGTATTTGAGGGGCTGCCACAAAGAAGAGGGGGTCAATCTATTCTCCAAAGCACTTGAGGGTAGGAGAAGAAGCAATGGGTGGAAACGAACCAAGGAGAGAAGCAACCTAGAACTAAGGAGAAATTTCCTGACAGTGGGGACAATTAACCAGGGGAACAACTTGCCACCAGAAGTTGTGGGTGCTCCATCACTGGAGGTTTTTAAGAAGAGACCAGGCAGCCATTTGTCCAGCATAGTCTAGGGTCTTCTGCTTGAGCAAGGTGTTGGACTAGAAGACCTCCAAGGTCCCTTCTAGTTCTATTCTGCTCAGGATCCCTGGCTTAGAAAATTTGTCTTGAAGATATAACTTGCAACGTTAGGAGATTCTGCCCATAATTTGGTATCTTTGGAAAGGGTGGAGACACCGCTGTTGTCCTCACTACGGGCTATTTAAAGATGTAGTAGAGTTACCGTCATGATATGCAGCTGTTCAGAGCAGTCTTCTCTTCTGAATTGACCTATCTATCAACACTGATATTGCTACCTAGTTGGGTCATGAAGTGTCTACAAGAAAACGAGGAGAGTAACAAGGACCTCCCAGTCTTCCTCCCCCTCCCCCTCCTCTCTTCAGAGAGCACCAAGAATCCACAGTTCAACCCTGAGCTACAGAGATGATCTTCTAGTAATCATCTATGTATTTGTCTACCGATTTCATGACACCATCAATACTTGGGGGACAGAGCCATGGAAGTGAGTCCTTCGGGAGTAGGGCGGTATAGAAATCAAATAAATAAATAAATAAATAAATAAATAAATAAATAAATAAATAAATAAATAAGTAAGTAAGTAAGTAAGTAAGTAAGTAAGTAAGTAAGTAAGTAAGTAAATAAATAAATAAATAACAATAACAATAGGCCTGGGACACCCCTCACCCCGCTATCTATATCAGCTGTGCCAATCTTGACAACTTTAAGACTTGTGGACTTCAATTCTCAGAATTCCCCAGGCAACCATGTTAGGAGCTGAGGTCCACTTGTCTTAAAGGTGCCAAGGTTGGACACCCTGTTCTCCATCATGACTATGGTAGAAGAGCTAAAACAGACTTCTCCAACAGGGTGGCCTTGAGTTCTTCTGGCCTTCAACACTTCCTAGTCCATGTGGTTTAGGAGACACAAGTCAAGCTCATAAGAGACCATAGTTTGATGGGATTGTGCATCACCTTTGAGGGAATCCAAATAAAGAGGTTAGGACTGTCCCCCCAGATGGACTCCACTCCCATAATTCTTTGGGTCAGGCTACTTTGAATTTTGGAGGGTTGCTTTGTGGCCAACAGACTTAGAGGACCCCAAATTGAGTTGATGAGGGTAGAAGAACAGGTAGGATGGGAAGAATGAACAATGACCTCTGACCTTTCTGGATTTACAACAGGGTTAACCGAACTAATGGTACAGTTGGAGGTCGGTCCTAGGAGAAAAGATGGCGGCCATGACCACGGCCATGATCACGATGGGCATGACCATGGTGGACACACACATCATGGGCATGACCACAGCGACCACGTACATGATGGACACACACACGATGACCATGACCATGATCATAAAAATGCCACACATGGTGGCCATGACCACGGTGGACACACACATGATGGCCATGACCACAGTGATCACATACATGATGGACACACACATGATGACCATGACCACGATCATAAAAATGCCACACATGGTGGCCATGACCATGGTGGACACACACATGATGGCCATGACCACAGTGATCACATACATGATGGACACACACATGATGACCATGAGCATAAAAATGCCACACACGGTGGCCATGAAGATCACAAAGATCACTCAGACCATCACCACGGCAACGAAACAGGCCATCACCATGGCAACGAAACAGGCCATCACCATGGCAACGAAATAGGCCATCACCACATGGAGCCCCATGGAAACAGAAGTGAAAGTTCTCCGGTGCGCTCAAAACGAAGTCCTGCAGACTTAGAAGAACAAGACGTCCCCCAGAACATCTGGGACACGGTGAGACATGTCCTTCTTTAGCACTGCCATAGGCATAGAGGTGAGCCCACCTGGAGGTTTATCTGTGTCCTCAGGGTCACCTGAGTAGTGCAAACGGATGTGGAACCTCCTTGGAACTGCGGAAAGGATTGCGTTGTAGACTGGAGATAGATGATATCGTAGCCCTTTGCATCACTCAGGTCAATGTTTCTCAACCTTGGCAACTTGAAGATGAGTGGACTTCAACTCCCAGAATTCCCCAGCCAGCTGGCTGGGGAATTCTGGGAGTTGAAGTCCATTCATCTTCAAGTTGCCAAGGTTGAGAAACACTGATTCAGGTGACCCTGAACCTCCAAGTGGCCTCAAGGACCCTCTAAAATATAGAAATGACCAGCTGTCTGCAAGGAGTATCAATCCTTCCATTCCCCACCATCCAGTCAGAGTGGAAGAAGCTTCATGGATGAGAAGCGAAACGTCTTCAAAGAAAAAAACCCAGAAAGTCCACTTGCCTCTTGAAAAAAAGCACTTTGGTGACCCCACTACTTGAGGGGTGGGCTGAAGTGGGTCACTTCAGCCCCCTCAAGCCAAGTGCCGGTCACTCAAGGACTTTTCTTTCTTTCCAGGTCTGTCTCAGCCCCACTGATATCTTCAAGATTTATGAGATTGACGATGCCCTCGGAATCAGCCGCCCAGATTTCACCCGCCTCAGCCCAGCTCTGGTGCAGCAGAAGCTCAGCAAGGCCTGCACGGCCCCTCGGAAGGTTCCAGAAGAAGGGCGCCTCACCACGGCTGAGAGTGAGTCCATCCCCAGGAGATCCCGTTTGCCCCAGCCCTCTCTAAACCCGGAGCGTGTCCAACTGTCCAACTGTGGCCACTTGAAGACTTGTGGACTTCAACTCCCAGAATTCCCTAGCCAGCTGGGGAATTCTGGGAGTTGAAGTCCACAAGTCTTCAAGTGGCCACAGTTGGACACCCCTGCTCTAAAACCATCAGGAAAATGGTTCCTGCCAGAATCAAACATCTGCCTTGAAGGTCTCCCATGGAGAATCTCCCTTCTGTTATTCTACTGAAGACCTCTGAGCTTCCACACTCCAGTCATGACTGGTCGTTTCTGGCCAGGACTTCCGGAGTTTGAACCTCTAAAGTTTGAGGCAATGTGGAGGTGACTAGGATGCTGGTCTCACTAGGAACCTCTCAAACCACCCAGGGCCTCCTGAAAAGCTTTCCGAAGCATGTAAGGAGAAGGACATCTCCTTAGAACTGGCCACTGACCCGTTCTTGCATGGAGGTGAACTCTTTGGTCACACACACGCACAGACACACAAACACACACACACTCTTGAATGACGTGTTTTGTAAGTGCACCGAGTGCATCTTCTGTACCGGAGACAAATTTCTTGTGTGGCTACCACACTTGGCCAAATAAAGCTATTTTAGTCTTTTCTGTCCTGTTTTCATTATTCTATTCTGTTCTGTTCTGTTTTGTTATATTCTGCTTTCCATATTCTGTTCTGTTGTCTATATCGTTTCCTGTTCTGTTATCCATATTCTATTCTGTTCTATTGTTTTCTATATCCTGTTATGTTCTGTTTTCTATAGTCTCATCTATTCTGTTTTTTAAATTCTGTTTTCCATATTCTATTCTGTTCTGTTTCCTATATTCTGTTCTGTTCAATTCTGTTCTGTTCTGTTCTATTCTATTCTATTCTATTCTATTCTATTCTATTCTATTCTATTGTTTTTTCTATTTGTTTTCCATATTCTATTCTGCTGTTTTTTGTTCCGTTCCGTTCTTTCTGTTCTGTTCTGTTCTGCCGTTTTCTCTGTTCCGTTCTGTTCTTTCTGTTCTGTTCTGTTCTGTTCTATTCTGCTCTGTTTTCTTTGTTCTGTTCTGTTCTGTTTGGTTATATTTTGCTTTCCATATTCTGTTCTGTTGCCTATATCGTATCCTATTCTGTTATCCATATTCTATTCTGTTCTGTTGTTTTCTATATCCTGTTATGTTCTGTTTTCTATATCCTAGTCTATTGTGTTTTTTAAATTCTGTTTTCCATATTCTATTCCATTCTATTCCTTATTCTATTCTGTTCTATTCTTATTCTATTCTGTTCTGTTTTCTCTGTTCCATTCCATTCCATTCCGTTCCGTTCCGTTCTGTTCTAGCGTAGCCTAGTCTATTCTGCTTTTCTTGGGTTATTCCTCCCTAACCCTCCCTCTTTTCCAGAGTACATCTACGGCTCCCTGGCCACGTTGCTGGTGTGCGTGTGTGCCCTTTTCGGCATCGTGGTTCTGCTCTGCACCGCTTGCATCAGTGCCTACCAGTATGTCATCCAAACTTTTGTCAGCCTGGCCGTCGGCTCGCTCACCGGGGACGCCCTGCTGCACCTCATCCCCAAGGTCCGTGCCGGTGGGGTAGTAGGAGACTTGAAAAGGGGTCCCGAAGGTTTGGGGGAAGGTCGCGGGTTGGGCACTCCCTGAGGTGCTGGGTTAGGTGGGGGTCTGCGGCCCATCCGAAGGTGGGAACTGCGGGCATGAGAATGAAAAGGGACACAGGTACTCCTCGACTTACGTCCGTTCGCTTAGTGACCGTCCGAAGTTACAACGGCACTGAAAAAAAGTGACTTATGACCCTTTTTCACACTTACGACCGTTGCCGCCTCCCCCATGGTCACGTGATTTACATCTGAATGCCGGACAGCTGATTCATATCAGCATCACGTGATCCCCTTTTGCGAACTTCCGACAAGGCAGGTTCGCGGGGGAAGCCGGATTCACTTAACAACCGTGTGACTCACTTAACAACGGCAGTGATCCACTCAACCAATGTGGCGAGAAAGGTCGCAAAAGGGGGACAAAGCTCACTGAACACACTTCTCACTTAGCAACAATTGGGCTCCATGGCGGTCACAAGTTGAGGATAACCTGTATGTGGGTGTGAGAAGAAAGGGTGGGTGGGGGGCAGCCCCAGATACTGTACAATCGAAAAAGAGAGAAACTCTTTTTTATGTTCAGGGATCTAGAATAGAATAGAATTCCTGCATGATAAAGAAAAAATTCCTGCAATTCCTGCATGATAAAGTCGCTCGGATTCGGGATGGCCTGGACTCCGACTGGATGAGTCCACGGGAGGAGACGAGGGCAGGTCTTGAGAATGTTATCTGGGAGGAGTTTGATCCTGTGACTCCCGAGGATGTGGACAGGGTCCTGGGTAAGACTAGTGCCGCCACGTGTTTATTGGACCTGTGTCCCTCCTGGTTGGTGCTGGCCTCCCGGGAAGTTACACGAGGCTGGCTCCAGGGGATCATAAGTGCTTCTTTGAGTGAGGGTGCCTTTCCTGCCGCCTTGAAAGAGGCGGTAGTGAGGCCCCTCCTCAAGAAGCCTTCCCTGGACCCGGCTGAATTAGTTAACTATCGTCCGGTCTCCAACCTTCGTTTTGTGGCGAAGGTTGTTGAGAGTGTGGTGGCACGACAACTTCCCCGGCACCTGGATGAAGCTATCTATCTAGACCCGTACCAGTCGGGCTTCAGGCAGGGGTACAGCACAGAAACGGCATTGGTCGCGTTGGTGGATGATCTCTGGAGGGCTCGGGACAGGGGTTGCTCCTCTGTCCTAGTCCTATTAGATCTCTCAGCGGCTTTTGATACCATCGACCATAGTATCATGCTGCAGCGGTTGAAGGGGTTAGGAGTAGGGGGCACCGTTTTGCGGTGGTTCTCCTCCTTCCTCTCCGACCGCTCGCAGTTTGTGTTGGCAGGGGGGCAGAGGTCGACCTCGAGGCATCTCGCATGGGGAGTGCCGCAAGGGTCGGTCCTCTCGCCCCTTCTGTTCAACATTTATGTGAAGCCGCTGGGCGAGATCATCCGTGGTTTTGGGGTGAAGTGTCATCTGTACGCTGATGATACTCAGCTGTACATCTCCACCCCAGACCACCCCAACGATGCCCTTGATGTGATGTCCCGGTGCCTGGAGGCCGTGCGGGCCTGGATGGGGAGGAACAGGCTCAGACTCAACCCTTCTAAGACCGAGTGGCTGTGGCTTCCGGCGCCCCGATATAGTCAGCAGATGCCATCGCTGACTATTGGGGGTGAATCCTTGCCCCCCACAGAGAGGGCTCGCAATCTGGGTGTCCTTCTGGACGCATGGCTGTCTTTAGAAGAGCACATGACGGCCGTGGCCAGGGGGGCCTTTTATCAGGTTCGCCTGATTCGCCAGTTGCAGCCCTTTCTGGATCGGGACGCCCTGCGCACGGTCACTCACGCCCTTGTCACCTCCCGGTTGGACTACTGTAATGCTCTCTACATGGGGCTCCCCTTGAAGAGCACTCGGAGGCTCCAACTGGTCCAGAATGCGGCCGCGCGGGTGGTTATGGGCGCAACTCGTTGTGCCCGCGTGACACCCCTCCTGCGCGAGCTGCACTGGCTCCCAGTGGTCTTCCGGGTGCGATTCAAGGTGTTGGTTACCACCTTTAAAGCGCTCCATGGCATAGGACCCGGGTACCTTCGAGACCGTCTTCTGCCTCCGATAGCCTCCCACCGGCCAGTTCGCTCCCACAGAGAGGGTCTCCTCAGGGTGCCATCGGCCAAGTTATGTCGGCTGGCGACGCCCAGGGGGAGGGCCTTCTCTGTGGGAGCCCCTGCCCTGTGGAATGAACTGCCCCCCGAAATACGCAAGATCTCCGACCTCCGGGTGTTTCGCTGCGCTCTGAAGACCCTGTTGTTCCGCCAGGCCGGGCTATTAACATAACGTTTTAAATTGGGGTATTTTTAAATTCCTGGGATTTTAATTGGAGCCTAATTATTTAATGATTTTAAATTTTAACTGTTGTTTTTGTTTTTGTGTTTTTAAATAGGCTGTACACCGCCCTGAGTCCTTCGGGAGAAGGGCGGTATAGAAATAGAAATAATAAATAAATAAATAAGAATGAATGAGCTGGAAGGGGCCTTGGAGGTCTTCTAGTCCAGCCATCTGACAGGGGCTCCAAAATTAGGGGAAGGAAGGAGGGCAGCAGTCTAACATTTCTTCATCCCCCAAAGTATCCCAGGAGAGTACTATACAGGTAGTCCTCGAGATACGACCAATCACTTAACGACTGTTTGAAGTTACAATCAACCCCACCACCACCACCAAAAGCTACTTATGACCCTGTTTTGAAGTTACGGCTACTGTGGTGCCTCCAGTCATTCGTCCTCACAACCAACCACAGGGAAGCTGCAGTGCCCCCTGCCTACCTCCCCCTCCATCCCACCCCTCTCCACTGAGATTCCATAAGCTTTGTCCCTACTCCACACATGCCCCATCATCCACTGAACACTTACCTTTTGTAGGTCTCTGGATATTTCTCACTTAACGGAGGTCAAGCAGGCTCCCTTCCGGTTCTTTTTTAAGGACTACCTTGCCCTACACAGGGCAAAAATGTAATGGAAGTGTAACTAGTAGCTCGGCCAGATCTCACCTCTCATGATGTGTAGGTTCCATGACAGTAGTTTCTCAAGGACCATCTGCAGTTGGGCTGTGCAGAAATGAAAGATGGAAGTGTAATTAGTAGCTCTACCAAACCCGACCTTCTCATGATGTACGATTGCTATGAAAGACCTCTCTCCTTCTGTTCTGGGTTGCAATCACACTCGGACCACCACTCTCATTTCAGTTCTTGGGCCTCCATTCTCACTCCCACAGCGAGGGCGATGCCCACCTCCACCATGGACCCGAGGCCAATGACAAACTCTGGAAGCTGCTGGCTGTGCTCGGGGGGCTCTACCTCTTTTTCCTCTTGGAGAAATTCTTCACCCTCCTGGGACATTCGCACGAGGAGGTGAGTCGGCTGCTTGTTCTGAGTTTCCCACGGCCACAGAATTGGGGGGTGAGGGGTGGACAAGAAAACATATCAAGGAGACGCCCAACCTAGAATTATGGAGGAATTTCCTGACAGTGAGAACAATTAATCAGTGGAACTGCTTTGCTCTAGAAGTTGTGGGTGCTCATCAGTGGAGGTCTTCAAGAAGAGATTGGACAGCCATTTCTCCAGAATGGTATAGGGTCTCCTGCTTGTGGGGGGGGTACACGAGAAGACTTCCAAGGTCCCTTCCTTATTATTATTCCCTTCCTTGTTATTCTGTAATTCCAAAGCCTCTGAGGGCAGGACAAGAAGCAACGGATGGAAACCTTATCAAGGAGAGAGGCAACCTGGAATTAAGGAGAAATTTCCTGACAGTGAGAACAATTAAATCAGTGGAACTACTTGCCACCAGAAGTTGTGGGAGCTCCATCACTGGAAGTTTCCAAGAAGAGATAGGACAGCCATTGGTCTGAAATGATATATAGGGCAAGACTTGTGGACGTCAAACTCCCAGAATTCCCCAGCCAGCATTCCCCAGCAATTCTGGGGGTTGAACTCCACAAGTCTTAAATTTCCGAAGCTTAGATACCTCTGGCATAGGGTCTCAATTGTGGTCCTAAATAGAGGATTACCTGAAGTTCTCTGAACCCCTCTGCTGCCATCTGGTGGTCCTCCAAATATTGGCAACTCGAGTCTCATAATTCAATTATTAAAACTTACTAAAACTCTCCTGTGTGTCATTTTCAATCACCCCCAGCCAGGGGTGAAATGCTCCCGGTTTGGACCGGATCGCCCGATCCGGTAGCGATGGAGGCGGGTGGTTTGGAAAACTGGTAGCAAAAATGCCTGCCCCCCCCCCCCCCCCCGCCCCGCTGAGCCGCACCAACATCAGAGGCTTTTTTTTTTACTTTTAAAAGCATTTTTTCTACAACCTCTTCGGCCGAAAAAAATGCTAAAAGAAGTTTTTTAAAAAAAGCCTCTGATGATCGCGCAGCTCAGCTGGGATCATCAAAGGCTTTTTTTTAAAAAAAAAAACCCTTTTTTTCTTTTAAATGCCTCTGACGATCAGGCAACTCAGCTTGGATCGTCAGAGGCATTTAAAAGAAAAAAAAGTCACTTATTCCTTCAGCTATTTCAAAGTGATCCTTTCTTGCTATTTACATCTATTTACACATATTTTAACTTTTGTCTTATTCAACAATTATTTTCTATCTTTCTTTATTTCGTCTACATTGCACCTTGATCTCCAACATTTTCTTCCCCTCTCTCCTTTATTCCTCTTGATATGTGATGTGATATGTATATAAATGTAGTGTGTTTATGTTTTGTTTTAATGTGTTCAAAATAAAAAAAACTTTAAAAATCGTCAGAGCCTTTTGAAAGCATTTTTTTTACAACCTCTTCACTGAAGAGGTTGCAGAAAAAATGGTTTTAAAAGTAAAAAAAAAAAAAAATTGGCCACGCCCACCCAGTCACATTACCCCCCCACCAAGCCACGCCCACAGAACCCGTAGTAACAAATTTTAGATTTCACCACTGCCCCCAACAGTGCATCATAACACCCCCCCCCACAAAAATGAGTCAAGCCCCATCCCCAAATGTTTTAAATTAAGAAATGCATACATAATCAGGGTGCCACTATTTTTAAGTATAGGCAGTCCTCGATTTAGGGGGTCGAAGCATTCGTTTAGTGACTGTTGGAAGTTAGAGTTGCACTGAAAACTTTAGGACTGGCTTTTTCACACTTATGACCATGGCAGCGTCCCCACGGTCACACAATTAAAATTCAGAGGCTTGGCAAGTGGTCAGTCTTTATGACGGCTGCCGTGTCCCAAGGTCACATGATCCCCTTTTGCAAATGTCCGACGAGCAAAGTCCACCGGGAACCCAGATTCACTGAACGACGGCGTTACTGACTTAACAAGTGCAGTGATTCGCTTAGCAACTCTGAAAAGGAAGGTCGTAAAATGATCGCTTAATAATTTGTCTTCTTTAGCCACAGAAATTTTGGGCACATTTGTGGTCGTAAGTCGAGGACTCTCTGTAAATGAAATGGGCACTTGGGTGATGCCAAATGCACATTTTCTCTCCGTTCCCCCCCCCCCACGCCTTCTCTTCCTAGGAGTCCTCTGAATCCAGCCAGGGCCACCAATGTGACCACGGACTGTCCCTGCAGCTGTACCAGGATGAGATGAAGAGGAGAAAACAAGAGAAAGGAGCTTCAAATGCTGACCTGGTAAATCTCCATGTCCAAGCCCCTCGACTTTCGAGATGGGGGGGGAGAGGAGGAGGAAGAGGAGGAGGAGGAAGAAAAGAATGTGGCTGCTCTCTGTTGACTGTTTTCATGCAGACGTTTCATGACCCAACTAGATAACATCATCAGTGCTAGAAGGAGTGGGGTGCGTAGAGAGGAGGAAGAGGAGAGAAAGGAGGAGGAGGAGGAGGATTGTGGGGTTCTTGGTGCTTTCTGATGTTGCTTGTTTCTTGCAAACACAACAAGGGAACATCAGTGTTAGAAGGAGTCGGGGATGTGGAGAGGAGGAGGAGGAAGAGGAAGAGCAGGAAGAGGAGGAGGAGGAAGAGGAGAAGGAGGAGGATACCGACTGTGGGGTCCTTGGTGCTCTCTGAGCTGGGTTGTTTTCTCAGACATTTCATTACCCAACTAGGTAACAGCATCAGTGCTAGAAGAGAGTGGGGTTTGTGGAGAGGAGGAGGAGGAGGGCCGCCAGGGGCTGGGGCAGGAGAATGACCTAGCAGTTGTCCGAGGCAAGGGTGGACTCACCTTTTCTGAAGGGAATTCCTGCTTCCATGTTTCCTTCAGGTGTCGGTGGAAGAAACGGATTTTGGCCGGCAGGTGCCGAAGACGGAACTCAGCCGGGGTGAGGAGAAGTCCTGGGACCCTCGAGGTTGGCCTCCAGCCCAACCCCCTCCCCCCAGAGATGCTGGGCACCGAGACCCCCAGATTAAAAACAACTCCCTGGGTCACCAAACCTCCAGCCTTCGTATTCCAGCCCCCCACCCCACCCCCACTTTCCCATCCCCAAGCCAAGCCTGCCCCACATTGCAACCCCCTCCTTCCCTTCTCGCCCCACAGAACTCCGCATGCTGCCCTACATGATCACCATTGGGGACGCCATCCACAACTTCGCTGATGGCCTGGCCATGGGAGCGGCCTTTTCCTCCTCCTGGAAGACCGGGCTGGCCACTTCCCTGGCGGTCCTCTGCCATGAACTGCCCCACGAGCTAGGTGGGCTGCAAGAGGGGTCAGAGGTTGGCAGGGGGTGGGTGATGGTACTCCCTGCCTTGGGGCTGGAGGGCACCTGTAACATCAGTAATCTTCCTTCCTTCCTTGCTCTCCCTCCTTCCCTGCCCTTCCCTGCCCAAAATTTCCTTCCTTCCTTCCTTCCTTCCTTCCTTCCTTCCTTCCTTCCTTCCTTCCTTCCTTC